AGCCGGGCATGGCAGCACGCACCTGTAGTCCCAACTACTAGGGAGGCTGAGGCAGGAGAATGAAGGCGGAGGTTGCAGTGAGCCAAGGTCATGCCACTGCACTCTAGCCTGGGAGGCAGAGCAAGACTCCATCTCAAAAAAAAAAAAAAAAAAAAAAGTCAAAATACAGGCCAGGTGCGATGGCTCATGCCTGTATTCCCAGCACTTTGGGAGGCCAAGGAGGGTGGCTCACCTGAGGTGAGGAGTTTGAGACCAGCTTGGCCAACATAGTGAAACCCCATCTGTACTAAAAATACAAAAATTAGCTGGGTGTGGTGGTGCACGCCTGTAATCCCAGCTACTCGGGAGGCTGAGGCACGAGAATCGTTTGAATCCAGCAGGCGGAGGGTTCAGTGAGCCAAGATCATGCCATTGGACTCCATCCTGACAGAGCAAGACTCTGTCTCAAAAAAAAAAAAAAAAGGTCAAATACAATAGAGGCTGGCAAGGCTGTGGAGAATAGGGAACACTTACATACTGTTGTTGGGAGTGTAAGTTCAGCCACTGTGGAAAGCAGTTCAGAGATTTCTCTAATTACTGAAAACAAAGCTTCCATTCAACCCAACAATCCCATTACTGGATATATACCCAGAGGAAAATAGATCATTATACCAAAAAGACACATGCATATGTATGTTTATTGCCATGCTGTTCACAATAGCAAAGACATGGAATCAACGTAGGTGCCTATCAGTGGTGGATTGGATAAAGAAGATGTAGTACATATACACTGTGGAGTACTACACAGTCAAAAAAAGAAAGAAACCATGTTCTTTGCAGCAGTATGGATGGAGCCAGAGGCCATAATCCTAAGGGAATTAACGCAGGAACAAAAACCGAAATACCACACGTTCTCACTTATAAGTGGGAGCTAAATATTGAGCACACATGGATATAAACAAGGGAACAGCAGGTACTGTGGACTACTAAGTGCACTAAGGAGGGGTATGTGGATTGAAAAACTACCTATTGGGGACTATGCTCACGACCTGATACAGTATGCCCATGTATCAAACCTGACTATGTACCCCCTGTATCTAAAACAAACATTGAAAAAATTTTTTAAAAACCAACTTGAATGAACTCTCATTCACCATTTTTGGCACAATTTGAGAAACAAAAAAAAAATTGAATAAAATGTATCCTTGAGAATCCAATGATAATAAATAAATAAGAAAAAAAGAGAAAGGGGGAGGGGAAGAAAGTACTTCTTTAGAGAAGAATACTAGCTAATAATTGTAAAAGAAGTGTGGAATTAGGCTGGGCATGGTGGCTGATGCCTATAATCCCAGCACTTTGGGAGGCCAAGGTGGGGAGATCACTTGAGCCCAGAAGTTGAAGACCAGCCTGCCCAACATGGTGAAACCCTGTCTCTACTAAAAATACAAAACTTAGCCGGGCATGGTGGTGGGCACCTGTAGTCCCAGCTACTCAGAAGATTGAGGCACAAAAACTGAACCTGCAGGGCAGAGGTTACAGTGAGCCGAGATTACACCACTGCACTTCAGCCTAGGTGACAGAGCAAGACTGTGTCTCAGACGAAGAAATGTAGGATTAGAAAATCATCAATTTTGCTACCCCAGTGTAATTATCAATATAGGCAAAGCACATTAAAAGATGCTAAAATCATTGGGTAAAATACAACTTAGGGACAGGCTCTTCAATCAGTGCCAAAAGAATCATCCCACAAATTACCTGCTAATTACAAAGGGAAAAACTGTACCTTTACATTGGAGAAATCTGGTGGTCACCGCCTTATCCTATAGATCAAGCACAGCATTTACCAATATTGGGACAACCTAACCAGGCACCTGCTGACAGGATGTTATAAAGAAGGACACCACACCACCTATAAAATAATCACACCCAAAACGATTAAACTGAAAGGTATTATGAGGAGCAATCAAATTTAGAGCGTAAGACATTCTATGAGACATTCATCCAAATGTATAGCCAAAAAGACATCTTGGGAACAATTGGGTTGGAATCTGCTCTGCATATTAGAAAATATGATAGAATGATTAAATTTTCTTAGGTAAAATAATGGTTTTGTGGCATTGCAGGAGAACGTCTATTTTGATAGGAGATGCCTGCTGAAGTATTTAGGGGTAAAGTATCTTGAAGTGTGGTCATTTTGAAAATGTTCAGAAAAAGACTGTGTATAAAAAGAGAAAGCAAGTTGCCAAGGTAAAGAATAAAGGGTGTGATTCGTACTATTCTTTCAACTTCTCCGTAGATTTGGAACTTTTCAAAATAAAGTTGAAAACAGTTCTAGAAAGGTATCTATTGCTGCAATGTATTGTTAAGTAAAACAGTATAAATGGTACAATTTTTTTTTTTTTTTTTTTTTTTTTTGAGACGGAGTTTTGCCCTGTTGCCCAGGCTGGAGTGCAATGGCACGATCTTGGCTCACTGCAACCTCTGCCTCCCAGGTTCAAGCAATTCTCCTCCCTCAGCCTTCCAAGTAGCTGGGACTACAGGTGCCCATGCCACCATGCCTGGCTAATTTTTTGTATCTTTAGTAGAGACGGGCTTTCACCATGTTGGCCAGGCTGGTCTCGAACTCCTGACCAAGTGATCCACCCACCTCCACTTCCCAAAGTACTAGGATTACAGGCATGAGCCACCATGCCTGGCCCATATGAATGGTACAATTCTATCTTGGGATAATGTTAGCTGCTGTAACAAAGGAACCAAGAATGCGGTGGCCCAAACAACAAGATAAAAGTGTATCTCTTGCACACGTGACAGTCCTGGTGAGATGCACAGATCAGCAGGCAGCACTTCTCAGACCTTCAGGGACTCAGGCTGATGCTGGTTCTGCCGTCTTCAACATATGACTTTCATAGTTGTTGCCCTCCAGCTGACAGGAAGTGACAGGCATAGGTGCAGGGCCAGAGATTTTCTCTGTGGAGGCTGCACACATTGCTTCTGCTCACACTCCCCTGGGTGAGACCTTCCTCCTGAGTTGCAGTGGGGCAGTAGGTGCAGGGGCTGAACAATTCAGTTCAAGATGGGCAACCACACATCTCAACTTCAACTCTTGGCAATTTAGAAGGGATTTTGGTAGAAAGGGAGTAGTCTCCATCAGTCATTACAAAGTGTCTAAAAGAATACAGGGCCGGGCATTACAGGTGGCTCACACCTGTAATCCCAGCACTTTGGGAGGCTGGGGCAGGCAGGTCACTTGAAGTCAGGAGTTCAAGACCAGTCTGGCCAACATGGCAAAACTCCATCTCTACTAAAAATATAAAAATTAGCCAGGTGTGGCGGCACATGCCTGTAATCCCAGCTACTTGGGAGGCTGAGGCAGGAGAATCACTTGAACCTGGGAGGTGGAGGTTGCAGTGAGCCGAGATCACACCACTGCACTCTAGCCTGGACAATATAGCAAGACTCTGTCTCAAAAACAAAAAAAGAGAATACAGACCCACCAATTCAAAGCTTTTATTTCAAGGTTAATTGGTTTTTGAATGTTTTAAATATCTTTATGCTTGTCTTCGCTTTTCCATTCTGAGCATGCATTTCTTTTGTAATAAAGAATTATGCTTTACAAAAATAAACCATTGAAACCACAAAGAGATTATTTCACTGGCAAATTTGCAGAATGTTTTGTTTTCTCTCTCTAAAAGAAACATATACCTAAATCGTAAATACTACTTTAAGCATTCTCCTACTCAGAAACCTTCAGTGGGACCCCACTCTCTATCACATTTGCTTGAATCTCACGGCTCCCCACAATCTGGCCCACACCCTCCTCCTCACCCTGTGCTCAAGCCACCTGCCTGGCCGTCCTAGAATCACGCCTGCTGTTTTCACTCCATCCATCCTGCGGCTCAAGTGCTGCCTCCAGCCTAGCCAGACCCCACCCATTCTTCAAGTCCCAGCACACACCACCACCTTCCCTTGACCTTTCACCTTTTCCCAGGGCTTTTCCATGACATTTAGAATGGGTGCAACACAACGTATCCCTTGATTAAATGTTGTTTTCCATTTTACTGGTAAGGCATTAATCTTATCTGTCTCATTGTCAGCACACCACCACTCCTGGCTAATTTTTTAAATTTTTTGTAGAGACAAGGTCTCGCTATGTTGCCCAGGCTGGTCTCAAACTCCTGGGCTCAAGTGCCTCAGCCTCCCACCGTGCTGGGATTACAGGCGTGAGCCGCCATACCCGGCTGCATTCTGGTTTTTTAAATCTATCAATTTCCTTCGCACATACTGCTTCCTTTTCGTCTTTGCACCACACAGAATCCTGCTCCTGCTACAGCCAGATAATGCTACACACGGGGATCCCTAGTATTTGGAAGCAGGGAAAATGTGTGGTCACCAACCATGTAAACTGAACGGTGATTTCTGCAGCACACAAGGGATTGCCTGGCATCATAGGAAGTACCTAGCACGTCCTGCTTGCTGTGTCAGTAATTTGCAGTGCGAAGTTTCACTCAGTGGCCATTCCATAGTGGGCTGAATAGTAATCGCAAAACAAGTAGACCACATGGCTCTCCTTCAGAGGGCACCCCCATAGTGATGGCATGTTATGAAGACTTAAATCACCGAGGCTACTCTCCAGCCAGGGCCACAGGCTGGTCGTTTCAACTTGCTGGCCTGAAAATCCGGGAGAAGCCTGCAGGCAGGAGGCTGTTCTCTGTGGAACTCGACGGTAGACAGGTGCCTGTGACATTTAGGCAATCTAGCAGCCCAGCTGACTCCAAAAAGCATCTTTTTTTTTTTTTTTTTTTTTTGAGACAGAGTCCTGTTCTGTTGCCCAGGCTGGAGGGCAGTGGCACAATCTCGGCTCACTACAACCTCTGCCTCCCAGATTCAAGCAATTCTCGTGCCTCAGCTTCCCAAGTAGCTGGAATTACAGGCACATGCCACTACACATGGCTAATTCTTTTTGTATTTTCAGTAGAGACGGGGCTTCACCATGTTGGCCAGGCTGGTCTCAAACTCCTGACCTCAAGTGATCCACCTGCCTTGGCCTCCCAAAGTGCTTGGATTACAAGCGTGAGCCACCGCACCCGGCCTCCAAAAAGCATCTTCAGGCAAAACGGAGACCAAGGGCATGTAGTGCCTAGTCTTACCCAGCTCCACTTGGCAGCCACGTCTTCAGATGGGGCAGACAGACGAGAGTCAGCAGCAGTTTGATTCAGGTAGGTGGTACCTGAGTCCAGAAAGACCAAAAAGCCTACTGATCCTCGTTCTTTATTGTCCAGGCTTACAATTCTGGCACACTCACAATTGTCCTGAACCCGCAGGAGGGATTTTGCTGCTGTAAGAGTTTTTTTCTGGACAAGAGAAAGTTTTGCCTGCTTTGTGCTACAACAGCACTTTGTGCAGAACATATTTTATATTTCATGACTATGTAAAGGTAACCGTCCTAACCAGAATGCTATTTATACAAGCTGCCCTCAATTCCCTAAGGCGGTTTTTGTGTTTGAGGCACAATTTGAGTGTGGGCTTTGGGGACAGTGCTCTGAAGGTTCTCGTTGGCCCACACGGTCCCTTGATCGACCTTCCCATGTTGTCACTGTTTAAAGGTTGAGGTTCACTGCCTTGACCACACTCTTTTATAATCTCACGAGACCAAGTTCATTTCAAATGTACTCAACACAGTCTGGCGCCAGCTTGACACTACTTTGCCTTTTCCCTCCCATCCATAGTAAGCTGTGCCCTGCACCATATCGTAGATCCACTCAGCTCAGCCTCCATCACACAACTCATGGCAAAGATGGGTTTGGTACACATCAATCAGAATTCAGTAGCACCTCTCAGGGAGGGACAGAAATGGCATATCAGTTAAGAACCAGTTTCCTGGTTCTTGGAAAGGAGCCATCAGGCAACAGTTGGAAAATAACTTGAAGTCTTTTCTGTCCCCGACTGCCTTAGTCTACTTGCTCTTCGGGTCATCTCTGTTCATTGTGGCCTTATCATTTCAGACACCATATTGTTAGGTCCTAGTTGTTAAGAATCGAATCATTCTCACATTCCCGAGGAGATACATCCCCCTCCCCAACCCATGCGTCTTCACCTTCCAGGACGTTTAACTTGAACCATGATGTCATTACCTCACTGCCCAATGCTACTTACCCAGTTAAGTTCCTTCTCTTCTCAGTGTGGGCCTTTCTGTGAACTTTTGAAAGAGCGTAGCGCTGGGCAACGTGATAGCTCTACTTTATTAGGCATGAGTCCAGTAGAGCAAGTCCAGGATCTTCGGAAAACCTTAAGTACAAAAATGACGATTCTCAAAAAAATACTGATTAATTTTGTCAACTTATTTTAGTTAACATGGCTTTGTTAGAACTTTCATCAAATTCTCAGTAGAGAATGTAAAGTATACTGAAGTATCACATAGGTTGGGTTTTGTTTTATTTTGGCTTTTTGTTTTTAATGCCATGGGCTTTGATTTTTGAAGATAGAGCTGGTTTATGTCCCCCAGAGGAATAGCAGTGTGCTATTGTCTCCACCTCCAAGTGACATTTCAACTTGGGGACACATAAGGAAGCAATGAAAATTGTAATTATTTTTCAAAATTACAAGAGGAAAAGATGCAATTAAAAAATCAACTTTAAAATTAAAATTTTAATTATTATTGTTTGATTATCTCTAATGTTGTCAAATATTTGCCATTAGAGTTTTACGGTCTGAAAAACCATTGCACCATATTTTCTTAAAACTAGATAAATTTCAACTGGCCATTTGTAAGATTGTCATACTATCATAGATTATATTCCCTGGAGAAGAAACCAAGAGTCCGGTGTGGAACTGACCCACGTCTCCATTCATACCCTTCTGGAATAGGTGAAATCCAATAGAATTTTTCATTGGGGACTTTAGCTTTGGTTTCAACCATAGGTAGTAAATGTTTAGTAGTTAGCTAGTTAATTTTTTAAATGGCTGAATATGAATTAATGGCTAATCATAAAAGCCAATACTTACATGGCGCTTACTGGGTTACATGTATATGGCGCTGTTCTAAGTGCTATGTGTACATATATATATTATGTAATCCTCACAAAACCACCAAAAGGTAGATACTACTGTTCACCAATGAAATCTGAGATCCAGAGAAATGAACTAACTGAATATCACACAATTACTATGTGCAAGAGCTGGGAGTCACTCCCGTGGAGCCGGGCTCCAGGGCCTTAAATACCACGCTTTAGTGCCAGAATGATTTACTACAACTTCTCCCACTCAAGGATAATCCTTGGGTTTTCATCAAAGAGGATAGGCCGGGCATGGTGGCTCACACCTGTAATCCCAGCACTTTAGGAGGCCAAGATGGGCGGCTTCCCTGAGCTCAGGAGTTTGAGACCAGCCTGGGCAACATGGTGAGACCCTGTCTCTATTAAAATACAAAAAATTAGCCAGGCATGGCAGTGTGTGCCTGTAGTCTCAGCTACTCAGGAGGCTGAGGCTGGAGAATTGCTTGAACCCGGGAGGCAGAGGTTGCAGTGAGCCGAGATCATGCTACTGCACTCCAGCCTGGGCGACAGAGCAAGACTGTGTCTCCACAAGGTGGACATGATTTATTTAAGATTTCTCAATGAGGCAAGCAGGAAAAAAGTCCTTTAACACATTCGTAAGTATTACACTTCTTGCCATTGTGCCTTCAGTTTACAACCGATAAAACACTGACTTCTAGCTGCAATTTCTAGACTCTTAATGGTTACCATCTAGAAATAAGGTTGATTGAACCAGAGAAGGTTGTACTCACAATATAGGCTCACAATCCCACAGGTAACAGGATGGTTTAATTGGCCAAGCTTTCACCTCTTCTGTGCACTAAAGGCTTGAGGTTTAATGAATGGATGGAGGAAGGATAAACATGGCTTAACAGCCCAACCCATAAAGGTCTCCTCCCTATTCACCACAGCCTGGGGCAAGCCAAGAATTCCGGCCCTGGCTGGGGGTAATGGAGATGGATCCGCTAAGAGGAGCTGAGCGGACACCTGCTGCTGATGCTGCTGACACAGGTGTTGGTCATCCTCGCCTGGGGCATTTTTCCTGCCTTTCTGCTGGCTGGAAAGAAAGGGCTGACTCGCAGGGCCCTGTGGGAGTTGACTTAACCCACTACGGCGAGCTGATTGTGTTGGGCAGTTTGTGGAGGAAATTCTGTCCCCTATTCATTGATGCTCTTCTTGGGACACAATTCCAGGACTGTGACTTCCAGGACCCAATCACAATGACAGTCTTAGGTGTCATACTTAAAATGTGCCCACATTTTCTTTTCTGAGAATAGAGAACCTATCTCATGTTCAGAAATGACCTAATGTTTTGGCCAGGCATGGTGGCTCACGCCTGTAATCCCAGAACTTTGGGAGACCGAGACAGGTTGATCACCTAAGATCAGGAGTTTGAGACCAGCCTGGCCAACATGATGAAACCCATCCCTACTAAACATACAAAAATTAGCCGGGCATGATGGTGGGTGCCTGTAATCCCAGCTACTCGGGAGACTGAGGCAGGAGAATTGCTTGAACCCGGAAGACGGAGATTGCAGTGAGCCAAGATGGTACCACTGCACTTCAGCCTGGGCAATAAGAGTGAAACTTTGTCTCAAAAAAAAAAAAAAGAAAAGAAAAAAGAAATGACCTAATGTTTCATCTTTGACATTTCAGAATAATTTGCAAGGATTTCGATTAAATAGCAAAATCGAAAAGGAAAGGGGAGAACAATCAGTATGTTGTGTCTTGTGCTTCTCTGGTCACTTTATCTGAGGGTGGTCTATTTTCTGAAATTATGGGGAGAAACAAGAATTATTTGTTCGAAGGCTGTATCCAAACTCTAAATTTAAAAGCATGATTCATCGTCTTGGAGGATCATGATCTGTCCACCTGTAGATTTATGTAGACTTCTTTTTTTTTTTTTTTTTTTTTTTTTGAGACGGAGTCTGGCTCTGTCACCCAGGCTGGAGTGCAGTGGCCGGATCTCTGCTCACCGCAAGCTCCTCCTCCCGGGTTCACGCCATTCTCCTGCCTCAGCCTCCGGAGTAGCTGGGACTACAGGCGCCCGCCACCTCGCCCGGCTAGTTTTTTGTACTTTTTAGTAGAGACGGGGTTTCATCGTGTTAGCCAGGATGGTCTCGATCTCCTGACCTCATGATCCGCCCGTCTCGGCCTCCCAAAGTGCTGGGATTACAGGCTTGAGCCACCGCGCCCGGCCCCATATGTAGACTTCTTTACAGAAGACTGACAAGTAGAGGACTGTTTTAGAATTTAGTTTGTCATACATCACATCCAATAATTCAAAGCCACTCAGAGTATTTTCCTGAGTCAGGAGCCTGTGAAATGACAGTGCCACAACTGACAGGGAGAACGGTGAGCAAGATCAATACAAATTGCAAGAGTTGGGGAGGTACCAGGGACGTTAATTTAGCATTCTATGTCTGCAAAAGACCACATTTTTCAGAGGACTTTCCGACACTGAACTAATGTGCAATGTAGGAGAGAGCTTAGTGACCCCACCCCTGGTGACCCCCCAGGGTCGGGGAAGGGGGAACCTAGTGATTTGTTTCTTGTGGAATGGATAGCCTAGGAAGTCGTACCAACACCAGGACCTAAAGCCATCAAGCTGTACTTAAATCACCTTTAAGACCAGGTTTCTGATATTTATATTGTTTTCATCCTTTCTTTGTGTAACAGCCAAGTATAAAGCTGTTCCATGCCTGGATAATTTTTATTGCGTCGGCATGGCTGTGTTGAGATATTCTGACACAACAGGAATCATGATTTGTCCACTCATAGATTTATACTGACTTCTTTATAGAAGAGTGACAAGGAGGGGACTTTTTAAAGATTAGTCTGTCTCATGTTGCACCCAATAACGCAGAGTATTGAAACTGAGGTCTGATTTAATCGGCCTCGCCACAGTCTCTACATTTCCTTTTCATTGTCAAGTATATGATTAACATAAGGAACTTTTTTTTTCTAGCCTATCTCCAAAGTAGTTCAAATAACAATGCGAAGTTTAAAAGCACTGATTTTTTTCTCCTGCTTTCATATGTAGCTTTTAACATGCGCTATTTATCGGTCATCAGATTACTTAAGGGTCAGAAATGCATTCTTTTCATAATGTTCTACAAAACACACTCATAGAAAAATGCTTTCTTTCTTAATGTTCTACAAAACAGACTCATTAATTCTGCCATTATTTCTAAGTTGCTCCGCCCAGTCCGTCTGAATCTCTCTGGTGAACGGGCGTGTTGACCCTGGCAGAAGACTCTAGGATTATTGCTGGAGAGGGTCACTGCGTTTGCCTCATTTCTGTTTTCTCTGCCTAACAAAGTTGACCTACTTGGCCACTGATACTCAGACGTATTTCATTTTTGGTAGAGTTCTAGTGAAGAGGATCCTCTAACTGAACCAAGGTCATCTACCAAGATATCTGCGTTTAAGTGTGACTCCAAACTTCCAGCAATTGACCAAACATCAGTCAAGCAGAAACATAAAAGTACCATGACTGCAAGGAAAGCAGAGAAAGCAGACCCCAGCGAACCCTCTCCAGGTGAGTGGCTGGCTTATTGAAATTCATCAGATCTAAAATCCCGGTATTAAAAATAACAACAGGCCGAGCGTGGTGGCTCACACCTGAAATCCCAGCACTTGTGAGAGGCTGAGGCCAGCAGATCACTTGAGGTCAGGAATTTGAGACCAGCCTGGCCTATGTGGCGAAACTCTGTCTCTACTAAAAATACAAAAATTAACCAGCTGTGGTGATGCACGCCTGTAATCCCAGCTACTCGGGAGGCTGAGGCAGGAGAATCACTTGAACCTGGGAGGCGGAAGTTGCAGTGAGCCAAGATGGCACCACTGCACTCCAGCCTGGGCAACAGAGCAAGACTCCGCCTCAAAAATAAATTAATTAAATAAATAAGCATAACAACAACAATCAAATAGATGGTGTTGGTTAAACCTAGTGTTTTCTGAATGGCTAATTCAGGTTGTGAAAGGCCAGTGATCCTATGCAAACGGTAACATTAATTTCAGAGTAGAATATAAAGTCAAGGAGGCGTGAATCATGCAATGTAACTTTCTCCACTGCCTGCGTTTTCTGCCCAGTCATTTGTGTGGCTTCCGCCTACAGCTGCTGCCTTTTCATCATCTTCGCCCTTCTTGGGGATAAAGGCATTTGGCCCCAGGTATCAAGTTTTATGGCTCAAGCAAGAGCATAAAGAGAAGCTTTCAAATACATCTGAATAGCACAATTTATAGCCAAGAGAGAAAGTAATAAAGTTTTCCCGTTCTGGGTTTGTCCTCTCTGAGAGAAAAGGTGCTTGATAAATCCTCCTTTTTCTGCAATTTGGAAAAATAGTCACTCTTTAGGTGCCTTGGAGCAAAGATCAGTCTTCTGCTTGGGGCGGGAGTGATTTAATAGTTTCCAGAAAGCGGCTGAAATTCACTGAAAATTTGATGTCTCTCGGGCTCATCTCCATCAAAGACAACTGCTATAAGACAAACTTGATTTCTCCAGGAACTGAGGTTTAAGTTGGAGTAACTAGGCAGAAGGGTCTAAGTTGAGTGGAAAGGATTCAGGCTAACTGCTGAAGAATTTGTCAATAGCGTGCAATTCATTAAAATCCAAATCACAGCTACTTTCCAATCCTAAATAGCTTTGCCGTGCAATCACCCGTCCAGTTAGGTCTTCATGCATTTTTAGAACATGGCAGCTTCCACTCAGATTAACCGCCCACATTGTACTGCTTTAACGAAGTCAAAACCAAATTGACTTCTGAAATGATGTTCTCTCAGGCAAAGCCCCAACTCTTGCTGCTTATTTAATCAGGGGAAAGTATCATCACGGTTAATTTCTCATTTTAAAGACTTTTGGTAGGAATTAGGCTTTAATTCAGCTGTCTAAGGTTGAAACAGAGCAGGTAAGGTCATTCCACCAATATTTCAAAATACAAGTTGTAATTTATCGAGTTGAGGATGTTTTTAATGGCAAAAGTTTGAATTTCAGGGTTTTTTGTTTGTTTGTTTTTGTTGAGATGGAGTCTTGCTCTGTTGCCCAGGCTGGAGTGCAGTGGCATGATCTCGGCTCACTGCAACCTCCGCCTCCCGAGTTCAAGCGATTTCCGGGTAATTTTTGTATTTTTAGTAGAGACAGGGTTTCACCATGTTGGCCAGGCTGGTCTCAAACTCCTGATCTCAAGGATCCGCCCACCTTTGCCTCCCAAAGTGCTAGGATTACAAACGTGAGCCACCGCGCCTGGCCTGAATTTAAGTTTAAATAATGCAACTCCATTTATGCAATATAATTTTTTGCCCTCTTGCTAAAATCAGGTGGTTGTTTGCATAGTGTGCTTTGTCATCGTGGAGAAAAATCATTAAAAGGAACCATTTAGAACCACCCAATGCTTTAGTTTGTCTGATTAACACAGATGTTCTTCAGACTGAGCAAACCCTGTATGGAACTTACAGCACTGACAAAAAGGGAGAATTAATTCACTTAACATTCTTTAAAACATCACATTTGAAGAATTACCAGGCCGGGCGCGGTGGCTCAAGCCTGTAATCCTAGCACTTTGGGAGGCCGAGATGGGTGGATCACGAGGTCAGGAGATCGAGACCATCCTGGCTAACACAGTGAAACCCCGTCTCTACTAAAAAATACAAAAAACTAGCTGGGCGCGGTGGCGGGCGCCTGTAGTCCCAGCTACTCGGGAGGCTGAGGCAGGAGAATGGCGTAAACCCGGGAGGCGGAGCTTGCAGTGAGCTGAGATCGGCCACTGCACTCCAGCCTGGGCGACAGAGCGAGACTCCGTCTCAAAAAAAAAAAAAAAAGAATTACCAGACTGAAAAACACCAGGTTTCAGTGACGGAGCCAGGTTGGCAGAAAGATATCTATTTCATCAAATGAGGGATGTTACTTGTAGTAAAAGCCTCTACAAACCGCCAGCTTCATCACTGCGTTATGGCCCTAGACCACGTCCAAGACCCATGCAGCCGTGAGGAGGGCTGTGGCCTGGCCGTCCCCAAGCAGAGCCGTCCTGGTGATGGATGGCAGGTGCTGCAGAAGTGGAATAAGTTGTGCAGCAATCTGGCTAAAAACAAAGCATCGATGTGTTAAGATCCATCCATTTAACATGTGTAGACTCACCCTCTGGGCTCCCTAATTAGCATAGCGAAATGAGAACCGAGACATGGCAAGGATTTCAGCTGAGTCCGTTCAGGAAAAGTTGAGCTCGGTAGCAGCCGTGATGTAGACAGTTTTCTGCTGTTAACAGAAAAATAGGATTTAGTACCTGAATTAGCTGGACACACTGATCCAATTCACTAGTGAAATTCACAGTTCCTTGCTTTTCTCTGTAGAGAGATATTTCTCTAAAGCATTTTGGGGATGATACAAAGTTGGCAGTAAGTCATCAAAACTTCTCCCATGTCAGACCTGAGATTCTGTATGAAACTGAGGCATCAAACACAGTGAAATTCCTTTGCAACATCTGCCTCATAGGCTACAGAAGTGGAATCTGGTATAACTTCCTGTGTTATGCCAGACTTTTACTGAATAAAAGAGTATAGCTAGGGAACATGGCTTGACTGCAAATCTATGTAATGATAATCCATGTGATCAAAAAGGGGTTTTTCTTTGTGTGTAATCTGCCATCTAGAACTTCCAAAACGACTATGTAAAATATAGGAACTATCAATGCCCTCTACAAATAGATTTGTAACCGAGAAGCCATCAGATTGCTCTTCATCCTGTTAAAAGGAATTCGCGCATTTAAATTAAGTTTGTATCGTCCATGAAACTGCTTCTGGACAAGTGACTTGCGGGGTTCCTTGTTATCTCTCTCCATGCAGTGGCACATGCAGTTTATGGGCAAGTGTTTTGGAGTCAAAATGTTTGCATTTGCATCTGGGCCCCATTTATTTGCTGTCTGTCTTTGGCCAAATAAAGTATGTCTGTGCCTCAGTTTCCTCATCTGTACAATGGGGAGAAACAGATCCTGCCTGCTGAGATTGCTGTGAGAACTCAGTGATAAAACATACGTCCAGCCTTTAACACAGTCCCTGCCACTGCAGCCAATTAATGATCACATTATTATTCCTAGTACATGAGAGCAGCACGTACTGAGGAGAACGGACTAGAAAACTTTGTTTTCTGTCTTAAGGTTGACCTCCTAAAACATCTTTTTTTCTTTACAAAAATCAGAGTTGTATTTTATTGATTGACTGATTGATTGATTATTGAGGTGGGGTCTCACTGTGTTGCCCAGGCCAAAGTGTACGGGTGCAATCATAGGTCACTGCAACCTCAAACTCCTGGGCTCAAGTGATCATCTGACCCCAGCCTTCCAAGTAGCTGTCACTACAGGCACACGCCACTATGCCTGGCGAATTTTTTACTCTTTTTGTTTTTGTTTTGTTTTGTCATCGTTGTTGTTTTGAGACAGAGTTTCGCTCTTCTTGCCCAGGCTGGAGTGCAGTGTCACGATCTCAGCTCCTGGCAACCTCCGCCTCCTGGGTTCAAGTGATTCTCCTGTCTCAGCCTCCCGAGTAGCTGGGACTACAGACATGTACCACCATGCCCGGCTGATTTTGTATTTTTAGTAGAGACGGGGTTTCTCCATGTTAGTCAGGCTGATCTTGAACTCCCAACCTCAAGTGATCCATCTGCCTTGGCCTCCCAAAGTACTGGGATTACAGGCGTGAGCCACCACGCCTGGCCATTTTTTTACTTTTTATGGAGACGAGGTCTTGCTTTGTTGCCCAGGCTGGTCTTGAACTCCTGGGCTCAAGTGATCCTCCCATCTTGGCCTCCCAAAGTGCTAGGATTACAGACATGAGCCACAGCACCCAGCCCAGAGTTGTATTTTCTAGAATCTTTAACGTAAATGCAGGTACAAATACTTTTACAACACTCTGAGTTTCAAAAACACTCTGAGTTTCAAAGCAAAATGCCAAATGGAAAAAGATGAAGAATCAGACAGCATTCACCAAGCCAGAGATAGGCTTTATCTCCAGAAAGACATGGAAAATTCAGGCAGTGAGTCAAGACCTGGCTGGGTCTCATGTGCAATCAGCTCAGAAATCCCACATCCTGAACACTGGTGTAGGGTAAGGTATGAGCCTAGCGGAGTTACACGTTCTTAGTCACATGTTCAGAATTGTATATATATCCTTGAGACCCAGAACAGCTAGCAGGCCCAGCGAGCGCAGGGACACAGGAACATTTGGGGAGTTGTGTTGGCCTCCAAAGCCTGCATGCTCTCAAGACCTCTCCCAGCCCCACCCGGAGTTGGAGAGGAACCGCCTGTCCTTTCCAGGACATGGAGGGGCATCCAAAGGCCACTGTGCTATGGGGTTCTGGCCCCTGGAATCCTAACGAGCTCCCTACCCTGGGGCCAGACGTGTGGGAAGTGAGCGTCCCCGCTCTTGCCCTCTGCTCTCACCTGGAGCTTGGGCATGGTCCCCCGCGTTATGTGCCAGGAAGACAGCTCTGGATGGAGTGCTGTGAACCTGCTTCCAAAATCTTGCCCTTTAAAGCAAAGCCAAGTGTTCTGAAATTATCCTCACTTACTATTTAATGCAATGTTAGTCATGACTGCATTCAGATTTGCAGGAGGGACAAGACTTTTCAGCCGCAGATGGATTATTGTGAGGACAGGTTCTTGTAAAACTGAGAAAAAGCAGTGCATTCAGATGTTAAAAGACAAACATCTAAAATAACTGTGGTCTCTTCTGGATTGGGAAATATTTATTTGAAGAGCAGCCTGAAAGAGAAATTTGAGGGCAAACCCTAAATCCTTATAATTCACCTCGCAAATCAATGCTTCTGAAGGTTTTCTCTGAAAGGCCAAGATGAACGGTTTTCGCGGCAAGTCCAACTGGTGTCCAGCAACTTTCCAAGCTATCTGCCAAGTTAGAAACAAAACAAAACAATTTAAGTGGATGCTCCCACTTTTTAATAGAGAATCGTAATTATCAGTCCAGTTATGATACATGCTGTCAAGACAGAGGGGCTCAGGGTTGTAGCAGAGCCCAGAATGAAGTCCCGGCTCCAAATCCTGGTGCTATCATTTTATAACCCCATAAATGTGAGCAGGCAACTTCTCTGAACTCAGTTTCCTCATCAGTAAAATGGAAATCCTTGCCAGTCTCGCCAGGTAGGTAGGTGGGTGGAAACCCTAGATGTAGACCAGGCTTTAGGCAAAGGTTAATCCCTAGGCCTTACTCTGCTTGAACCCTGCTCCCAATACCACCAACTGCTCTAGGGCTAGTGTCTCCGTACGAATGCTGCTTGACCAAAGACACTTGCATTTGAGATGTAAGAGTGGTTAGAATTTGGTCGGGCGCAGTGGCTCATGCCTGTAATCCCAGCACTTTGGGAGGCCAAGGCAAGCGGATCACCTGAGGTTGGGAGTTTGAAACCAGCCTGGCCAACATGGGGAAACCCCGTCTCTACTAAAAATACAAAAATTAGCTGGGTGTGGTGGCGTGTGCCTGTAATCCCAGCTACTCAGGAAGCTGAGGTATGAGAATCGCTTGAACCTGGAAGCAAGAGGTTGCAGTGAGCCGAGATTGTGCCACTGCACTCCAGCCTGGGCAACAGAGTGAAACTGTGTCTCGACAACAACAACAACAAAAAAAGTGGTTATAATTTGATTATTAAAAATTTTAACAATTTGATCGTCAGTGAAGTCATCCGTTTATCCAGCACCTATGGGGATGTTAGCAAATACATTCAACTGTCCCCACCGTCCCAGGATGCATGATACCAAGGCAAACTGGTGTACTCATCCATCGCTCATTCATTCAGCACTTCATCTATACATGTTTACCTGCCGGGGAATGGGGAACCAGAATACAAAACACACAGGGCGTGTCCTCCAGGGCTCCCAGCCTGGTGGGCGAGCAGGATTCCAATAAGGGCAGATAGTGCAGTACATGCCCTAACCAAGGTAAGTTCTAAGAGCTTGTGGGCAGGGCCAGGTGGAGTGAAAATCCTGAAGGACAGGGGTTTAACCAGGTGAAGAGGGCAAGAAAGATGTGCCTGGCAGCAGGTACTGAGTGTGCAAAGGCACGGAGAGGGAGCAAGGAAGACAGGGAGAGACAGACAGACATCAAGGAGCTACAAATAATCTAGGGCCTTGTGCTCCACGTGTCCCCAGGCAAGTAGCAGAAACCATCATCTGAGAGCTTCTTAGAAATGCAGAGCCTCAGGCCCCAATCCAGACTGACTGGCTCGGAACCTGCATTGGAGAAGATCTCAGGGACATTCCTATGTACATCTGAGTTTCCGAAGTTCTGGTTTAGGGCCAGGCGTGTTGGCTCACGCCTGTAATCCCAGCGCTTTGGGAGGCCAAGGTGGGTGGATCACTGGAGGTCAGGAGTTCGAGACCAGCCTGGTCAACATGGCGAAACCCCATCTCTACTAAAAATACAAAAATTCGCCAGATATAGTGGTGCACACCTGTAATCCCATCTACTCAGGAGGCTGAGGCAGGAGAATCACTTGAACCCGGAAGGCAGAGGTTGCAGTGAGCTGAGATCATGCGACTGCACTCCACACTCCAGCCTGGGCGACAGAGCGAGACTCCATCTCAAAAGAGAGAGAGAGAAAGAGAGAGAGAGAGAGAAGCTCTGGTTTCTGGTTTAGGGTCAGGCTACAAATTAGGAAATATAAAGTTGAGGCCCCACAGGTGGGCAAGGATCAGGCCTCCAAGGGCCTTAAGTGTCATGCTGAAGGCGATGGGGCATCAGTCCTGGAAGGGCTCTACATAAGAAAGTGATGCAGTCAGATTGGCATTTGTAAAAGCTGACTCTGGCTGCAGCATGGAGAAGGGCCAGCTGAGAGTGTGAGGGTGGCCAGACACAGCCAAGAGTGGTCAGACACAGCCAAGAGACCAGACAAGTAGCAGTTGCAGGGGACTGGGGGAGAAATGAGAAGGGCTTGAGCGGGAGCAAAAGCAGAGGGAAGAGGGTCAGGTGAACCACTGCACCTGTAAGGAATCCTAGCACTTTGGGAGGCTGAGATGGGAGGATTGCTTGAGGCCAGGAGTTCAAGACCAGCCTGGTCAACATAGCAAGCCCTATCTCTATTTTTAAAAAAAGAAAGAAAGGCTGGGCGCGGTGGCTCACGCCTGTAATCCCAGCACTGTGGGAGGCTGAGATGGGCGGATCACAAGGTCAGGAGATCGAGACCATCCTGGCTAATACAGTGAAACCTTTTCTCTACTAAAAAATACAAAACATTAGCCAGGTGTGGTGGCGGGCGCCTATAGTCCCAGCTACTTGGGAGGCTGAGGCAGGAGAATGGCGTGAACCCGGGAGGCGGAGCTTGCAGTGAGCCGAGATCACGCCACTGCATTCCAGCCTGGGCGACAGAGCGAGACCCTTCTCAAAAAAAAAAAAAAAGCAGAGGGAATAGGAAGAGGGAGTGGGCTTGAGGGCCATTTGAGAAAGTAAAGCTGGCAGAACTTGGTGACTTGGATGTAGGGATAAGGAAGAAAGACGAATCAAAGAGAACTCAGGAATCTGGCCCAGGAAACTAGGCCAGTGAAGGTTGCCTCTGCCAAGGCTGAGGAAGCAAGGACAGTGTGGGTCCCCTTTTGTGGTGTTGTCTTTGAGGTGCAGGCAGGGCAGCCAGGTGGCATTGCCAGGAAGCACCTGGGGACCCAGGTCTCCTGCCCAACAGAGCACTCCCCTTCCTCCCAGAGCACTTGCTGGTAGGACCCAAGGGCCTGCAGTAAGAGGTGGCTGAAATGGCAAGAATGTCTCCCTGAAAGAGTGGATGGAGTAAGAAGAGAGATATTGGGGGAACTTTGGGAGATAATGGTAAAGAGAAGAATGAGTGAAGACAGCTAGAGAGAGAAATGATCCTGAGAAATAGGAGCCACTCCAGAGGCCACTTGGGAAGAAACAAGTGGATAATATTTACTCGAATCCTCTGTAGCATGACACTAAGGACTGAGACCCCTGCATAATAGGTAATGGTTTTCTTTTTTTTTTATCTTTTTCTTTTTTTTGAGATGGAGTCTTGCTCTGTCACCCAAGCTGGAATGCAATAGCCCGATCTCGGCTCACTGCAAACTCCGCCTCCCGGGTTCAAGCGATTCTTCTGCCTCAGCCTCCCGAACAGCTGAGACTACAGGCATGCGCCACCACGCCCGGCTAATTTTGTATTTTTAGTAGAGATGGGGGTTTCTCCCTGTTGGCCAGGCTGATATCGAACTCCTGACCTCAAGTAATCCGCCCGCTTCTGTCTCCCAAAGTGCTGGGATTACAGACGTGGGCCACCGCGCCCAGCCTTAGGTGATAGTTTTCAACTGGATGGCTACAACCATGGACTTTAGACTTGGAACTGATTTTAGCTGCAGCATCTCCCAAACTTTTCTGAGAATAAAAATCACCAGGGAGGTTCTTCATAAAAATAAAAATTCCTGCTTCCTGTCCCTGACCCACAGCATCAGAATCTCCAATAAAGGGCCTGCAAAATGATTTTGAACAAGAACAACAGGTGATTCTCATCCCCAGGGTTTGGGCAGCTGTCTCAGAGCCTTGCTTTTCCAAACATTAACATTCATGAGAAACACCTGGGGCTCTTGAGCAACTACAGGTTCTGATTCAGAAGTTCTGGGTGGGCTGAGAGCCTGCATTGCTAACAAGTCCCAGGTGACGTCGATGTTGCTGGTCTATGAACCACCTTTGAAGGAGCAAGGCTAGAAAAAACACCCGTCTCATTTTGCAGGTGAGGAAACAGGTTCCGGGCAGGTAAGCCGTTGATTCAAGGTGACCCAGCTGGTTAGTGGCAAAGCTGAGATTTGTCAGGCATGAAGGGGTAGCTCTGACTCATGACTCCATTGGGCACCCGTATTCTGCCTCCAGCGAGGTTAGCAGTTTGAGCGAGAGGTTAGTGAACAGATCATCAGTTTCAACAGGACATCTCTCTTGTTTACCTGCTTTTCCGCCAGCTTGATTTTTCTCCCTTCCCATGATCCCGCCGGGATCTCTCTCCTTTCTTTCTCTTTTCCCAAGCTTCCCCTCCGCAGCAGAAAGGCCAGATCAGGGCATGACTACAGCCTGCTAGCGGGGGCAGCTGGAGGATTGGGGGAGAGAGCTTTACCCAAGTGAGACCCTGCGGGTCGCCATCTGTTGCTACCAGCACAGCTCATTAGGCTGGCAGTGGGAGACGAGAAAGGCCCCAGAGCTTCCACACGGCAGCCCCAGGACATTCTCCGAGATCTTACAGGGGAAAGAACTTCCCGACATCTGTCAGGGACGCTGGAGACTGTTGGCTGGAACAGGGTGTGATGCTGGTGCCGCTTCCCTTGGTTAACTCCTCAGTGACACTGAGATCTAGTCCAGGTGCCTCCTGGGCAGGAGCCAGGCCTGCTGCTTCTGTGACATTGGAGCACAATTTTTTAGTCTGGATTCATTCGCAGACGTCTTTATGTCCTTCCCCCCACCCCACCCCCAGTGCTGCTTCCTGACTGCTCTTTTTCTTTTGTGCAGGTGGCAGCAGCCAGCACCCCCTGTTCTGTGTTGAATACACCCCTTACTGCTCAGTCTTCGCTTTCTCCCCTGTCCTGCAGCCCAATACCAATTACTGCTGCCTCCTCCTGCCACTAGTGCCACCTGCCTCCCCAGTGGCCCAGGAACCTCCCCACTCTCTCCCTCTGGTTACCGTTCCCTCCTTCACAAGCACTGCTTCCACCTACCCGGACCCCATGCCTGAGTCCCCGGCCGCGCTGTGCTACTTCCCCATCTCCTGCCCAACTCCGGCTGAGACCCCTGTGCTGTGCCTGCAGGGCCCCCGAAGGCCCAGTAGGATTTACCTCGTGTGGTAAGTCACCCTTGCAAGGCACACAGCACAGCGGAGTCAGGGAGAGGGGACTTCGGGCTTCCAGAAGGCAGGTGGACAGGAGAGGGGCCAGAGGCAACGCCAAGAACAATACCAGGCGGTGTGGTGTTCGGGGGAGCAGGAAGACGGGACAGCGTGGCCACTGCACTCGGGCTCCACCTTCTAGCGCCAACGGAGCAAGCGACCAATAAAATCCCATCCTCTCCGGAGACTCATTTGATTTCTTACTTCCTGTAGCTGGCACACTGTGCAATGTCACCCCCAGAAACCAAACAGGCTCTCCTAATGCGTCTGATCACACCCTTGGCTATGTGAATGTGCACATGCCGGGGCCGCCCTGAGCGGTGGCACCGGGGGCAGGCCATTCTGAAGGCATACACTGGAACCGAAACCCATTCAGAACCACTCGGAGGAGGGACAAATGAAAGGGCTCAGTCGATGTTTACATTCCCTTTTGTGCCTACTTATTAGCCATCACATTTCCTAAAATCAAAAATCCCACCCCTGA